TGGCAGGAATCCCAACACCTTGGCTGAGTTTGGGAGGGTTTAAGTGGAGGGTTTAAGTTTAAGGCGAGGGATGTTGGCGGTGGCCATGGCTGCACATCTGGCTGCACATCTGGCTGCACATCCTGCCCTGTGGCCAGAAGGAACGGAGGGTCCTGCCCGACACCCTGGCAGCACCCAGCACCCCCAAAACCGGAGATAATCGGCAACCTGGGAGGGGATCCGTCGGGATCCTGCCCCCGAGTGCCAGCTCCTTCCTTCCTTCCTCCCTTCCTTCCCTCCCCAGCCCGTCCCGGGGGGAGGGTGTTAAAATTCAGGCGCCGTCTGGGTTGGAGCGATGGCCGGGGAGCGGGGAGGGACACACATGATGGTGGCAACCCAAAAACCAGATGGCAAAGGGGCCCCCCGACAATATCCCCCCCCCCCAAAGTCCCTTCACCCTGAGGCCACCAGCGTCCTGGCCTGTCCCCATCTGTGCCCTCCATTGTGTCAGCCACCGACTCGCCGGATTATTTTTAAGCTGACAGCTGAATGTGCCCCGTTGATTTTAACCGGCACGGACAAGCCTTGGGGAGAGGAGAAGGATGGGCTGGAGACACCAACGGCAGCACCGAGGGAAGGACGTGTCCCTGTGTCACGGGGCTGGGGGGGGGACACGCCGGAGCCGTGGCCACGGCTCCGGCGTGTCCCCCCCCCAGCCCCGTGACACAGGGACACGTCCTTCCCTCGGTGCTGCCGTTGGTGTCTCCAGCCCATCCTTCTCCTCTCCCCAAGGCTTGTCCGTGCCGGTTAAAATCAACGGGGCACATTCAGCTGTCAGCTTAAAAATAATCCGGCGAGTCGGTGGCTGACACAATGGAGGGCACAGATGGGGACAGGCCAGGACGCTGGTGGCCTCAGGGTGAAGGGACTTTGGGGGGGGGGGATATTGTCGGGGGGCCCCTTTGCCATCTGGTTTTTGGGTTGCCACCATCACTGGGTGGGGGGCTTCGAGCTGGTGCAGGGAGGATTTAAGGGGAGTTTTTTTGCCCCCGCTCTGCGTGGGGTTTTTTGGGTTGGCTGCCCCCATTAAATCTCCTTTAGGATCTTCACAGCTTCAAGGTGGTGGCTCTCCCAGGTCCCCTCTCGTCCCTTCACAGCCCCAACAGGGGATGTCACCCAGCATAGAGACCCCAAGAAACCCTGTGAAGTTGGAGTGGGGGGGGGGCAGAGCAAACCACCCCCCTGTGCCTCAGTTTCCCTCTTCACCCACCCTGGCTTGGGCATTTTGGGGCTGAAACCCCTCCAGCTGCGGACTTGGACACCCCCCACGCTGGGTCACGGGCCCCAAAGATGCTCCTGCTGCCCCAGTAGCGGGGTTGACACCCACTTTGTCACCATTTGTCCCCTCGCCCCCCAGGACAGACATCACCCCACATCCCTGTACCCCGTGTCACTGTGCCACCACGCTCCCCCCATGGGGACACCATGGGACAGGTAGGTCCCACCAATGTCCCACTCCTATAGAACAAAGGAGTGTTTTCCCCACACCCTCGGGGGGCAGGATCTGTCCCCCCCTCCCAAATCACCCAGGTGGCTGCCACCTTCACAGCAGGGCAGGACCCCCCAACCCCAGCCCACCCCCCAGCACGGG